GGCCGGGAGCTCTGGGAAGTGGAGATGAACGCGAGTCCGTTCGTTCAGGAGGCATCGAGCGCTGGCGCCAAGGCAGGGCCCCAGCTGAGCCGAGGGCGCTGGGGAAGCCGCTTGGTTGTTGGGAAGCACTGCGGGTCCGGGTGAAGCGCTGAGAGGCCCTCCTGAGCGACTTGCAGACTTTAGACCCTTCTTAGCTCAGCAGGGAAGGCGGAGGAAGCGCACTCCTGGAGAAGGAGCTGCCTTTGCAAAGCCCGCGGATGAACGGGAAGGAAAGGAGGGAGAGAGCTGGAGAGGTGGGCGGGCCGGCCTAGATCCTGAAGGACGCGGCAGGTCTGGAAAGTTTGGGGACTTGATCTTAAGAATAACGGGAAACCTTAACGTGGTTCTAGCTGGAAGGGACTATATATTTAAAAGGTTGTGTTGAATTCAAACAACCAGAAGGAGAAATTTGGGTATTTACACGAAAGAAAGAAAGAAAGAAATGGGTGGAAAGTAGAAGAATGTTTAGTGGCATCATCTGCTCTGTGCATTGTTAGGAAGAGGCCTGGAAGATGGGTCAGGAAGGTGCCTGTGGAGTGTAGGGCTAAGGGTCCTGGCACTCTTACCGGAGCAAGCTCAGGAGTAGGAGGGTGGAAGCGACAAAGATGTGCGCTGAGAAGTGGATGGAAGGTGAGGAAACGGAGAGAGCAGTTTCTCTCAAGAGATGCTGCTGTGAGGGGAGGAAAGAGATGGACTTCAGGGTGAGAGGATGGATGCATCCTTTTACCTCTCCTTCCAACTCCAATCCTCCTATATAATAAAAGGCTAATACGCAAATCGACCGAACAGCAGAACTACTGGTCGCTATGACGCGCACTGACCACCAGAGGGCAGACGCTCAACGCAGGAGCTGCCCCCTTGTGCTCAGTGTGCGCTGGCAAGCACAGTGGCAGTAGCAGGAACCTCTCCTGCCTCCGCAGCAGCGCTAAGGATCCCCTTGTGCTCAGTGCGCGCTGGCGAGCACAGTTGCGGTAGCGGGAACCTCTCCTGCCTCCGCAGCAGCGCTAAGGATGTCCGACTGCCGGCAGTCGGACATCCCCCGAGGGCTCTAGGACTGCAAGAGGACACAGGCCAGGTTGAGGCACCCCCCCTCAAGTGCACAAATTTCGTGCACCGAGCCTCTAGTTAAGAAATAAAAGATTACAGCCATAAGAGAAACTGGCTCTGTACTTGTCCCGGATCCGTGAATTTGCCAGTTGCAACCCCCATACCTGTGTTCACAGTTTTACTGCATATGTATGCATTGAGAAAAGATACATAAAACCGTTCGTGGATTTTAGACTCAATATATGCGATAACATAATGTGTATCCTTTTGACCAGGGAAAGCTTAACTGAAGCAGTGATATTCCAGGCGAGCTCTGGGGATGGAAGGAGGCAGGGACTGGGGAGGCCGCGGAGAGTGTTCCAGACGCAGGGAACCGGGTGCTATCAGACCTTGAGCCAAGGGGAGGATGGTGGCAGGTTTGCGGGACCAGGAAAGGGCATGTGTGGCTGGAGCACAGAGTTGGAAGGAGAGGTAAAAGGTGATGCTGTGGGGAGCAGGGCCTGGCCGTGTGGCAGTGGGAGCAGGCAGAGGGGGGTACCATGAGCCTCCTGAGCATGTAGAATAGCATGCAATGGATGGTCATGATTCCAGCTTGTCACTTGTTGTACAATTTCATTTTCTGTGATGGTTTTTTTCTCTTGAGGCTAATGTTTAAGATGCTTTGCAAATAAGCCACTGTTGTCAAGTTTCCCTCTAGGAGTAAAATGGAAGGCGAATTGAGCGGATTGGACATCCGCACTCCGGTTTTTGACAAGAAAAAGAAAAAGTACTCTGTAGATAAGGAAAGACATCGGATGCATGCCCATGCAAGTTTCAGAGACGCCCCCCTGGCAAGCGAACACTCTCACAAAACGAAGAAGGGAAAAAAGAGGAAGGACAACCAGCACCTCGCCTCTTCTCCTCTGAAAACATCGGAACTCTGTGAGGAGGCTGCAGAGGCCCCTTCTCCGGCCAAAAAGAGGAAAAAGAAGAGTGCTTTGGGGATACAGGACGGAACAGGCGTGTATGTCATGGTGGATAAAGAAAACATCGAGAACATGCCCAAGAATTTTAGAAGGGATGTTGACATTGTTTATATTGACATGAGCAGGGAACAGGAGTCGCCCAGAGAGCCCGAAGCAGACGAGTCGCCTGCAGTTACTAAGCGACGGGAAGAGCCACGCAGTAAAGTTAGGGAGAAAAAGAAAAAGAAGCGTCGGCGGGAAGCTGCGTCCTGCGATGCTGCGCTGGAGGGGCCAGGCTCGGGCGCCAGCGTCCTGCCCCAGCCGGAGTCCCCGCTTTCTGCGGGCCTGGGAGGCCCCGTCACACAGCTGCCAGGTGCTGCTCATGAAAAGAAGCCTGAGAAAAGAAAGAGGAAGATTTCACATCACCAGGGATGTGAGAGTCCTGAGGCCGTGAACTCCGAGGGGGCACAGGTGGCCCATGGCCCGGGGACTGCAGAAGGCAGGAGGGAGCCCTGCAGATTGAAGAAAAGGGCCAAGAAAAGGAGGCGGAGGGCTCCTGTTGAAAGTGCTGTCTCGGGGCTCCCCACCAGCTTGGAGGACCCGCTGCTTGACTCCCTGGGAGGTAATGCTTCCTCCATTGAGGAAAGTGCGACCCCTCAGCCTCGAGAGGAGGAAGACCAGGCGTGTTCGGAGGAGGCGCCAAGGTAACGTGGCTGCTGTGCCTTCTGGGGGTGCCCATTCTCTGCCTGGGTCCGGGGCCTCTGTTAGCACGTCCACGTGAATGCCAGGGCTCCTAGAGGCAGGGCACGTGATGCTCAGCCGTGTGACTCACAGGTAGCTTCCTTCCTTCACATGTAACGAACGGTCAGTTAGATTAGATTTGCGCTGGGAACTGTTCCAGCCTGAAATTCTGTAACTAACTCTAACGCATTGACAGCCCCAAATCACCTTTGTCTGTTTGCACGTAGATAGAAGAAAGGAAGAGATGACCCATAATGTTACCGGGCAGGGAAAAACTTGAATTAGGGTCTAAGAAGAGAAATGTTAATACTGGTTATAGAATTATCATTTGAGGGAAGTGTCAAATGAATAAAAGCAGGGATTTTTCTTTTTTTTAACCACTTTGTTGCTCAGTTTCTGGGACTTGGGACAGATTCCCCCAGCCCCCAATTTTTATTCAGTGGCTTTCTTACATTTGTTAGGTTGTCCTGGCTTCACACAGCTCCACCACAGTGACATGGGAGAGCCCACCTCGGGCGGTGCTGATAATGAGGCAGCAATGCTCCAGGACTATGGTTCTTTTTCTTTTCTAAAATATGTTTTTATTGCTTTTAGAGAGAGAGAGAGGAAGGGAGAGGGACAGAGAGTTAGAAACATTGATGAGAAACATCATTCAGCTGCCTCCTGCACGCCCCCTACTGGGGACTGAGCCCGCAACCCGGGCCTGTGCCCTGACTGGGAATCAAACCAGTTACCTCTTGGTTCAGGGGTGGACGCTCAATCACTGAGCCACACCAGCCGGACTAGGACTGTGGTTCTTCACTTATATTGGGCCGTGTGCCCTATGAAAACTTGACCCTTTTCTTAGACAAATGCACACCATTTTTTCCCCAGTTTCCTGTCTGAGTAGTTAGTTGATACAGTTGAACATATGAAAAGGAGATTGGAACATCTGGCGGAGAGTTCGGGGATGAATTAGTTAGTGATCGATACATAGAAAACCAAGCAGAGGGGAAACGTGGCCATTACTGATCACAGCAAAAATCACTGTAACCACGGAGACCCTGGATCATTGAACTAATAACCATTATTGTAAAACTTAACATTGCAAGTGTTGGGGAGAGGCATCTCGGGTGTCCATGGGGGTGGAGGAGGACCTAGCCTGTTAGGAAGTAAATAAAACAACAGTAGTTGGGAAACAGGACTCTCAGAAGTAATCGCTGGTGGAAACGGCTTAGGGTGCCCCGTCTGCCTTGGAGGCCCCTCTGAGGGATGAATCCAAGTGAGCAGTTACCCCGAGAGTCCGGACACCCCCCACTGAACCACCTCTTGTCCAAGGGAGTCATTTCAGGAAAAGAATTTCAAAACTAGAGCCCAGCCGGTATGGCTCAGCAGTTGAGCATCAACCCAGGAATCAAGAGGTTGCTGGTTCGATTCCCAGTCAGGGCACATGCCCGCGTTGCAGGCTCGATGCCCAGTAGGGGGCGTGCAGGAGGCAGCAGATGGATGATGTTCCCCTCTCATCGGTGTTTCTTTCTCTCTATACCTCTCCCTTCTCTCTGTAAAAATCAAAAGCATTTAAAAAAGCAAAGTAAAAGCTAAGTGATGTCTCAATGCTAATCAGTCCAATTTCCCTCTTAGGTTAGGACCTCCCGACGAAGAAAGCAATTTGGATTCGGCCCGAGATGCCGAAGCGCGGTATCTGTCCGAAGACTTGGGAGACGCGGACGATGCAGATGTGGACCTGGCCTCCGCCGTGAGGCAGCTCCGGGAGTTCATCCCCGGCATCGGGGCGAGGGCCGCCACCACGATTAAGCGCATGTACCGGGATGACTTGGGCCGGTTCCAGGAGTTCAAGGCGCAGGGTGAGCTGTGGCCCCTCAGTGCTGCCGAACGTCCAGAGCCCCGCTAGCGGCTTCTGTGAGCAGTTCAGGTTTACAGAGTCACCATGACCTCCTCCAGCTACGGCGGCTGTATCTCCATCCAGAATTGCTTTTTAAAATTGAATTTGCCAGGGTCACCTTGATAAATAAAATTATATAGGTTTCAAGTGTGCTTGATAGTACATCATCCACCCAGAATTGTTGTCTGAGCTGTGAAGTGAAACCAGGGAAGTGCACAGGTTTCCCCTTTGCCCAGCTGGCCAGGGAGGAAAGGAGGACTGGGCTGTCACCCCCCAACCATGTCAATCCTGAAGGAGGGGGAGGAGGAGGAGGAGCCTAACTGGCGGTGGCCTGGGAAGGATCCGGAGGTGAAAGAACACTAGCTCATCAGCTTCCAGGAGGTGTCATTTCTTTCCCTGAGATACTAACTTGAGGGTGAGCTGGGGGAGTGGGCTGGTGCCAGACAAGCCGACTTGGTCTCCTTGATCTCACCGTGTTACAAGCGCCTCCCAGGAAGCCACCTGGATTTAAGAATAAACTGCAGATGTTAGGCCAGTGCTAAAATGAGCAGTGTTTACCGAGTGCCCGCTGTGAGGCCGGTACCACTGGCCAGTGAGGAAGAAGGGGGCCTTATGGACACAATCACGTGGATAAATTAAGTGAGAAAAACATAATTTATAGAGCAGTGTCTATAGAATGATCCCATTTTATTTGTATACTAGAGGCCCGATGCACGAAATTCGTGCAAGAGTAGGCCTTCCTTCCCTGGTCTGCCGGCACCAGCTTCCCGCTGGCACCCGGGACCCAGGCTTCCCTCACAGCCCCGGCTTCGTCCAGTAGGTCGTCTGGAAGGACATCGGGTCTAATTGGCATATTACACTTTTATTATTATAGATTCTGTGCTGAAATTTTTGAGTATTTTATGAAATATTTGAAAAATAGGTCTAAGAATAGAAACACACTGTATAATGCAGTTAACGTGTAATGAGCTGGAATAATTAGGAGGAGGAGAATGCCGGTGCATGTGCCCCTCCCTGGTGCATGTGCACAGAGAACCACCGGCTCACGGCAGCCGTGGGGAGCAGGGGGCAGGGAGAGTGAAGGGGGTGTTTTCTGAACTTCCATTTCCGTACTCTGAATGTTTAATGACTATCTGTGCACTTTTTAATATAAAAAAAGAATAGGCAGTTGATGAGTCAGGAAGGCCCTTGGAGTGGGATGACCAGGGAGACCTCGGGAGCAGAGTGTGGCTTGAGCTGAATCAGAAGGAAAGCGGGTTCTGCAGCGGGACCGCCGGAGGCCCAGCTCCAGCGCACCAGCCGGGCGGGGGCGGGGACGGGCTGATGCGGGGACGGGTGGCGGGTCCCTGTTGAGGAGCACCTGCGAGGTTTGCTCTTGTTCATTATTGACAGCATCTACTTTTTCTCCCACCTCAAATCCTAGGTGTCACCATTAAATTTGGCAAGTTTTCTGCGAAGGAAAATGAGCAGTTAGAGAAAAACGTGCAAGAATTTCTGTCCCTGACAGGAATCGAGAATGCGGACAAGCTGCTGTACACGGACAGGTACCCGGAGGAGAAAGCCGCCATCACCAACCTAAAGAGGAAGTATGCGTTTCGGTTGCACATCGGTGAGTTCAGGTGCTCGCTCTGCCCGCCCTCGGCCTCCCACCGCGTGCGGTGACCCCCGGGAGCACTCAGTGCAGCCGGAGGGACCCGTTTCTCAGTGGCAGCCTGTTTGGGGTCAGGAATGTGCTCGTGCCTAGTAGGCACACTGCTTCACAGATTCTAGGAAGAATGAACTGGTAACTTGTAGCTTTCCTACTGGGTAAGAATTACCGTTTGGGCTTCTCTTCCTGTTCTTCATGGCGTATGTTTTGCATTTGCTGCACCAGCACCTCCTGTAGGCAGCAGGGTCTCCTGAGCATTTTGAGTGCAGCCGGGACCCCTCCTGGAGGTGACGCTTGGAAATCAAGGCCGTGGAGCCATAAGCATTGGCCTGAAAACCTCTCTCAAATTTAAAGAAGCTAATTTCTGAAGTTTTTGCTGGGATGTGCCCAGGAACGCGGCCGAGCGAGCCCTGTGGAGGGCAGTTTCATCTGCACGGGAGCGAGGCGGGCTTGTTCGTTTGGATAGTTCTTACGGAGAACTGTTGGCATGTGTCCCCCACTAGCCTCCCTCTAATTCACATTATGTGAGCATTACTTTGCCTTGTGAGGGTCTTTTCCGAGAGTTGGGGAGACCAGAGCTGGAGCCACATACAAGGTGTCCAGTTTTCAGAGATCTCCAAGGCAACGGGGGATTGTGTACATCTGCTTCCCAAGACAGCTTCCTGCAGGCCCCGGCATCCCAGCCTTGCCCAGGTCTAGGATAGTTAGTGGTGAAAGGCCTTTACCACTGTGACCACCTCATGCCACACCGTGAGCCCGCTGACCACCTTCCTCTGACTTAGGGAAGGGCATTGCCCGGCCCTGGAAACTCGTGTACTACCGAGCGAAGAAGATGTTCGACGTCAATAACTACAAAGGCAGGTAAGACAGCGTCGGCGGCTGGACACAGAATGTCTCTCTGGTCTTTGCTGACACTCACACCAGGTCAGAAGTCAGGCTTGCAGATCTGTGTGAAAGCAGGCGTGCACCTTCAGTCAGGTGATGTCTTCATTTCCATTTCCAACTCGAACCTGTGTGGTCTCCCCTCTATATCTTCTGCTTTTTTTTTCTTTTTTAAAAAAAAATTTTTTTATTGATTTCAGAGAGGAAGGGAGAAGTAGAGAGAGAGAAACATCAATGATGAGAATCATTGATCGGCTGCCTCCTGCACGCCACCTACTGGGGATCGAGCCCACAACACCCTGACCAGGGATCATACCATGACTGCCTGGTTCATAGGTCGATGTTCAACCACTGAACCACACTAGCCAGGCCTCCGTTTTTTCTTTACACTCTCATTCCCACACTCGCTGTGCTCTGCCTCGCTGCTGCTCTGGATCTCTGCTTTGCTCACTGTAAGCTCCTTGTGAACCCCAATGTTCCTCCTCAGTGCATCGCTCCCTGAGCACCTAGCCCCGTTCTTGGGTTGCAGTAGATATTGGAAGGTGGAGGTAGATGTTATGTTATGTGAATTGCGCCTAACTACAGAGTAAATTTTAAAATGAAAATAAGCCCTAACCAGTTTGGCTCAGTGGATAGAGCGTCAGCCTGCGGACTCAAGGGTCCCGGGTTCGATTCTGGTCAAGGGCATGTACCTTGGTTGCCGGCACATCCCCAGTGGGGAGTGTGCAGGAGGCAGCTGATCGATGTTTCTCTCTCATCGATGTTTCTAACTCTCTATCCCTCTCCCTTCCTCTCTGTAAAAAATCAATAAAATATATTTTAAAAAAATAAAATAAAATAAAATGAAAATAAAATTGTGACATGTTCCCTTTGTCGTAGGTACAGCAACGGGGATGCGGAGAAGTTGAAGATGTACCATTCCCTCCACGGCAACGACTGGAAGAAGATCGGGGGTTTGGTGGCTCGAAGCAGCCTCTCTGTCGCCCTGAAGTTCTCCCAGATCAGCTGCGGTGAGTGTGGGCTCTGCTGCCTGGTGAGCTCGCCCGGGGAGCGAGGGAGCCGGCGCGCAGGAAGATTGGCGGCCGTCTGAGAGAGCATTGACTTTCTTTTTTTTTTAATATTTATCTATAGAAAGAAACCATGGGGCTTGGAGTAAGACGGAAACCCAGAGACTAATCAAAGCTGTTGAAGAAGTGATTCTAAAGACAATGTCTCCCCAGGACTTAGAAGAGGTAGATTCTAGACTCCAAGAAAACCCCGAAGGCTGCCTGTCGATTGTTCGGGAAAAACTCTACAAGGGCATATCTTGGGTAGAAGTCGAAGCTAAAGTCGAAACCAGAAATTGGATGCAGTGTAAAAGTAAGTGGTAAGTTTTAAGGCTTCTTATGCAAATTGCAACAAGACATGCTCTCTCTGTCTGTCTGTCTCTCCCCCCGCCCCGCCCCGTTCCCGGGGGCTGGGTGGATTGGTGAGGTTATAAGAATACATGGTGGCACCAGGTGGAAAGCCTTCCATGTTGAGAATTGCTGTCCCTTGTTCGCTGCTGCAGCCCCTCAGTGCCGGCATCTGGTATCAGGCAGCGCTGGACCGGCCCGGTTCACTGTCCGTCTTCCTCACAAGGCACTTGAAGGTGTTTGATGCTGAATATTGACCTCTGATTTCTTCAGTCTGCCCCTTTCTAGGTTCCCTTTCTAAGTCCTGAGTAACAAGGTAGTTTTCTGTTTGTAGCATTAAAAAAAAAATAAGGGGGCAGGAGGAGTGAGGGGGTCAGTGAGGAAACAAGGGGACATCTGTAATACTTTCAACAGTAAAGGTACATTTAAAAAAGAGCCAAATAAGCATAATGCTTGAAAAAAAACTAAAACTGACATTCAGAGGAGAAATCACAAACAGCGCTCAGTAGAGCTCTGCCTTTTAAATTGTGCGGTTCACCTGCCTCACCCAGAGTGAGCAGTCCTACCTCCGTCTTAGAACTTTTCGTCACCTGGGATCTATATCCTCAGTCCTGGTTGCTCTGTGCGCTCTGCCTCATGCAGCTTTCCCCGCCCTGAGGGTCTCGGAGCCCGCCCTCCAGCGGGGCCTGGCAGCTCAGCCGTCTTGACTGTCAGATGAGAAGGAAACTCCGAGCAGGCGCGTTTTATGCTAAAAGTAAACTCTTAGATGATACTGTTTATTGCTTATGCACCTTACATTGCGTTGCAGAGTTATTTTAACAGAGGACTACGCTCAGGGAAATGCACTCCAAAGAACAGATAATGTTGGGGGGGGGGGGGGGGGCGTGTAAGACGGGGAACCAGAGCCCTTCCCACCCAGCATTATAGATTGAGAAAAGGATGTGGGATGAGCCTCCATTGGAGGGTGACATTCGGTGTTAAACAAGGGGGAGCACCTTCAGAGTCAGCGTGATTAAATAACGTGCAAGACTTGCTTTGCTTCTCAATTTGAAGGAAAAAGCACTTGTAGCCTGAACATACATTTATTCATGTAACATTGACATGCCCTCAAGAGACACATTTCAAACCAGTGTACGTGGATGGCTGTTAGTAAACACATGGTGCCATTACCACATCTCTCCCTTAGCAAGGAGGTGAATGGAATGGCTACTGATATGTCCATCAGATGGTGACAAGTTGTGCTGTGCAAGACAAGGACTTTTTAAATATTTTAAATTGGGTTGCTCCTCTCATTAGCAACGTCACCCTTTCCTTCCGCCGTTAGCTCTGGGCCTTAGAGGACCATCAGATCATTCATCACTTTGCTAAATTTGTCTCAGTTGGTTTTCCAGCAGCTGCTCACAGAAGAGTAATGTCCGTCTGTTCATGAGCAACTAAACGAAAGCGGGTGCCACAGCGCCCTCTGGCAGCTGCTGAAAGGCCTGCTTCCAACCCTTTTAAACTTGTTTTTTATGGAAATTTTCTAACACACGTGGATGGTGGCAGATGTGGGCAGGGAGGAGTTGCAGGAGTTGGAGAGTGGTTCTGAGGAGGGGGTTAGATGAGAAAACAGGGAACTTGAATGGAAACTGCACCTCTGACAGTGAACTATACTGCTCTTTCTTTGAATGCAGGACGGAGATTCTCACCAAGAGGATGACGAATGGCCGGGACGTGTACCGCGGGGTGAATGCCCTCCAGGCCAAAATCAACCTGATTGAGAGGTATGGCCCAGAGCGGCCCTGCCGTTACCACTGCCCTGGCACCGAGAACAGCAGTGAGCTTGAAAACTGAATTTTTATGTTTTCTCATAGGTTGTATGAAATAAATGTGGAAGATGCTAATGAAATAGACTGGGAAGATCTTGCTGGTACCATAGGGTAAGACCATCCTATATAAAAAAAGGCTAATATGCAAATCGACTGAACGGTGGAACAACCAGTCGCTATGACACGCACTGACCACCAGGGGGTAGACGCTCAATGCAGGAGCTGTCCCCTGGTGGTCAGTGAGCTCCCACAGAGGGAGCGCTGCTCAGCCAGAAGCCCTGAGCTGGGCTCAAAGTGGTGGTGGCAGGAGCCTCTCACACCTCCGCAGCATCGCTAAGGATGTCCAACTGCCGGCTTAGGCCTGCTCCCTGGACATCCCCCGAGAGCTCACGGACTGTTGGAGGGCACAGTCCAGGCTGAGGATCCCCCCCACCCCCAAGTGCACGAATTTCGTACACTGGGCCTCTAGTCTGTTTAATATGAAGCTACTTAAAAGATAAGAGGTAACTTTAAGAAATGACTATCAGATTTTATTAGTCATGCTGCATGTGGATTTTACCTACAAGTTGTTTTATGTGTATGTGTATTTAGATCCCCCACTCCACCCCACCTAAGACACCTAAGCGGAGTGAATGAAATACGTTCCAAGTCCCTCTGGGCAAAGCAAATTGTTGAGAATGGTGGGGTGCAGGTGTTGTGGGCTTTGGAAGTGGGCGTTGAGGGATTGTGTGGCCTTCAGTTTGGAAGGTGGAGAGGAGCAAGGCCCGGCAGCCTGGCTGACTTTCAGGAGCGTGGCTGCAGGTGGGATGTTGCCGTCAATCAGGAAGGGTTTAAACAGGTTCGGTGGGTAGTTTCTTACACCTTGGGATGTGGCCAAAGAAAAATCCACCTTTTTTTAAGCTGGGAGAACTGGAGTCTTAGTGACAGGCCCTGCTGGGAGTCACAGAGACATGCCCATGCTTCCAAACACTTTCCTTTGCTAGCTGTCCCGAGGGGTGGGCACACCCTTCAGTATCGTGGGTCCCTGAGAGGGGATGGTGTCAGGTGCTTAGAAGGAAGGGACCCTGCCTTGCACCCCACCAACTTCCATCCTGAGGGCTATGTCCACAAAGCCCACCCTTCATATTATCAAATTTTTTTGTTGTTGTTAATCCTCACCCAAGGATATTGATTTCTAGAGAGAGTGGAAGGGAGAGGGAGAGACAGAAACATAGATTGGTTGCCTCCTGCATACACCCCACCAGGGCCCGGGAAGCTGCAACCAAAATACATGCCCTTGACCAGAATCGAACCTGGGACCCAATCATCGTTTGCCTCTACATACTTAACAGATAAAATTATCACACTAACCATCTTAACTGCTAGATTAATTATTGAAGCAAATAAGTCACACTTTTATTGTTTAAGGCAAATTGTCCAGGAAGTGAAGTTAGTGATTTTCACTTTAGAAACCAAGATTTGGTTGTTTCGTTCTGACTTGCTATAAAGTGCAAGTGTATGAGTCACCAAGACATCATCAGCATCTGCTTCCTTCAGCTCCGCAAAATAAAAATCAGGGCCCTGTGCCTCCCAGTGGTGACCTGTATGTACCCTAAGCGTAATGGGGAAGAGGGCAGAGTTTGGAGTCAATCACCCAAGTGTCCCCGCTCTCCCTTTATTACTGTGAGACCTCGGACTTCTCTATGCCTCAGTTTCCCCGTCTCTAAAATGAGGAGGAAGAGCAGTGGCTCCCTGGTCGAGCGGCTGTGAGGCTTGTTGGTTGCTACGTGGGAAGTGCTGAGGGCAGGGCCAAGTCGAAGGTGCGGCTCGTGTTACATTTTGTCTTCCCAGCTGGTACCTTAGATTATTCCAGATGAACAACCCATCTTGCTGTACTGCTGGCTTTCTTCCTTCCCTGTGTGTGTTTAACCAGGGACCATAGCTTTCCGTGTGTCTTACTTGTACCACTGTTGTGGCCATGATGACTTCACGCTCAAGGGGAGGGAAGCTCAGGGCTAGGCCTCCCCTCAGTCACTGTGCTGTTAGTTCTCAGAGCTGAAATGATCAGGTTTTAGACTGACACTGACCTTTCACCTTTCCTTCCTAAAGCGATGTCCCTCCGTCTTACGTTCAGGCTAAGTTTTATAAGCTGAAAGCCACCTGTGTGCCCTCCTGGCAGAGGAAGACTTTCCCAGGTCAGTATGTGCGGTGTGTGAGTGTGTGCGGTGTATAAGTATGTGTGGTGTGTGAGTGTGTGCGGTGTATATGTGCGGTGTGTGAGTGTGTGCGGTATGTGAGTATGTGTGGTGTGTGAGTGTGTGCGGTGTATGTGTGCAGTGTGTGAGTTGAGAGCAGTGTGTGGTGCCGCGTGCTGGGTGTGCCCCTGGGCAGCGACTTCCCTCTGAGAGCCTCAGCTTCAGCTGTAAAATGGAGAAAGTTAGCGTCATCATCCCTATCCGACAGGACCTCCTGCAGGGCTGAGTCAGATAGCGACCCTGTCCATGTCAGCAGGGTGCTCGGGCTTTGCGAGCACTCAGTGAATGCTCTCGAGGGTTCCTGGGTTGCCATCACGTGCACACATGCACACACATGAGTGTGTGTGGTGTGTGTGTGTATGCGGTGTGTGAGTGTGTGCGGTGTGTGAGTGTGCGGTGTGTGAGTGTGTGCGGTATATATGTGCGGTGTGTGAGTGTGTGCGGTGTGTGTGTATGTGCGGTGTGTGAGTATGTGCAGTGTGTGAGTGTGTGCGGTATATATGTGCAGTGTGTGAGTATGTGCGGTGTGTGTGAGTATGTGCGGTGTGTGAGTGTGTGTGGTGTGTGTGTGTGGTGTGTGTGTATGTGTGTGCGGTGTGTGAGTATGTGCGGTGTGTGAGCGTGTGCAGTGTATGAGTGTTGAGAGCAGTGTGTGGTGCCGCGTGCTGGGTGTGCCCCTGGGCAGCGACTTCCCTCTGAGAGCCTCAGCTTCAGCTGTAAAATGGAGAAAGTTAGCGTCATCATCCCTATCCGACAGGACCTCCTGCAGGGCTGAGTCAGATAGCGACCCTGTCCATGTCAGCAAGGTGCTCGGGCTTCGCGAGCACTCAGTGAATGCTCGCGAGGGTTCCTGGGTTGCCATCACGTGCACACATGCACACACACCACGTGCACACACTCACACCACATGCGTGCACATACACTTCTAGGAAAAAGGTAAGATGCCACTTCCTTCTCTGCAGCCACCTGTGGGCGGATAGATATGTGGTTCCCAGACCCAGGTCACCAGAGTCACGTGAGGAGCTCGTTCAGAGTGTACAGAGCGGCCCATCCAGGACGCTCATCCCAGGCGCTCGGGGCTGGATTTCCCCGTCAGGCTTGCAGGAGCGTCTCAAGTGGCCTCCCGGCCCGTGTCTGGAGACCACTGGCTCGGTTGCTCCTCTGCCTGGGATGTGAGGAACCACGTGCATTCAGCAGACACCATTCCCTGGGTTGAACCCTTGCCTTGTCCTGACTGAGTCCATGACGTTGGGGAAGTTTCATGACGTTTCAGGAGCCTGGGTCTCCTCATTTGAGAAACAAATAGCAGCCCTAGCCAGTTTGGCTCAGTGGATAGAGCGTTGGCCTGTGGACTGAAGGGTCCCACGTTCGATTCCGGCCAAGGGCACTTACCTGGGTTGTGGGCTCGATCCCCATAGGGACGTGCAGGAGGCAGCTGATCAATGATTCTCTCTCATCATTGATGTTTCTATCTCTCTCTCCCTCTTCTTCCTCTTTGAAATCAATAAAGAAATATATTTTTTTTAAAAAAGAAACAATTCCCTTTTTAAAAAAAGGGAGAGAGAGAGACAAATAGCAGTGCCTGCCTCCGAGGAGTGTTGAGAGGGCTGAGTGAGTGAATGTGAGCGAACCAGTGAGAACAGGGTCTTGCACGTGAGAGCAGCTGGAGCAGGCGTGTCAGCAACGCCCTCTGACCCCTGACCTTGGGAAGAGGCTTTGCACAAATCACTTCAAAGTTCAACCTTTCTCTTTAGAGATTATAGACCACCTTTATGAGACGAGTCTGCCTTTGCTCAAAGAGAAGCTAAAGAAGAAGGTGGAGAAAAGAGGCGCTGCGCCCCCTCCCGCGGCGCCCCGCCGTGTCTTCCTGTTCAGGGACATCTTCCACTGCGACGACGACAGTGACGACGACGGCGGAGGCGGGCAGAGTTAGGAGGTGGCATCCTTCTCGTCCGGTTTCGGGGTTTGGCTGTGTGTACATACGAGTGTCAGTAGCTGCTGTCAGTGCCGGGGGCTGGCATCGAGACGCAGTGGCCACAGGCAGGTGTGAGAGTGCCGACCTTGCTGTGGCGCATTGAGGATGGACTGGCATTGTCCGATGCAGTTGTTTCAATGTGAAAAGGAGGAGGAACATGTGAGTTGATTTAACATGCCTGTCCGATGGCAGACAATTGTGGTTTCTGTGGAACCACAGTGTCCCGAGCCCCCAGGGCAGCGGAGGTGGGCGCGTCCTGTAAGCATTCGCTGTGTGGACTCAGCTGTGCGGCAGCGGCAAAGAGACGTCGACAGCCCGGCGTGCCCGGCCCTGGCTTCTGCTCCTCGCTTGTTTACGTGTGTTCTCGGCGGCGAAGTGCAGCTCAGCGTTAGAAGGAAGTTGTGGGCGTGTGTTCCCTCAGCCTGGTTTCCGTTCTCATGCACATGGCACAGGTGCCCAGCTCGTCTTCCTGGGGGCGTGCTGGTTTAAAGATGTTCCTGTATGATGCTGTGTGTTGGTTCATTCATCTGTAACGCTCACCATTTCTCCAAACCTGCCGTCATTGGAGGAGGAAGATGAGCGACACGGTTTAGGGGTCCTGGGTCTCCCGCCCCAGCACCCGAACAGTGTGGTGCAGATAATACACACTCAATAAATGCTCGGGAAACAAACGAGTGTTTCCTTTTTAGAAAGCATTTTGCCTTCAGGCCCTCCTCTCTGTCAACCGTACCAGGCTCCATGCTGATGGGAATAGAAATTGTATGTTCCTTTTGGAGGACAATCTAGTGAAATACAGCTGATCCCTAAGAATGTACCTGTTCTGTGATCCTGCCTACTTCCTGGGTGCAAGTCTCATGGGGACCCTCAGCATTTAGGAAATGCCCCCTCAGGAGAAGGAGGAAGAGCGCCCCTTTTTTAACCTTCTCTCCACTGCAGAGTCCTGGCCTCTGTTGCATAACGAAGTCTGTACGTGAAGATCAATAGCTAAGAAGCATGCTTATTGAAAAGTGTCACGTGACCAGGAACTGAAATAATGCCAAGTCGAGACTGTTGGGCAACAGTTGGATTTGTTCCTTGGTCTTGTGTCTTCTGAGATAGGTTTCTTTTCCTCGCTTTATCTCTGTTCACTGCCTGCGTCCTCTTCTCCCGAGTACAGACAGTACGTGCAGTTCCTCCTCTGCCTTTCTCTGCCTCTAAGTTGGGGTTGTCCACACAGTGAACTCGAGATGCAGCCGTAGACAGGCACACCTGGTGCCTGTTTTCTCCACCTAAAGAGATCATGGAACTGGTGTGCAAGAATGGCTCCTTTATCACATGCAAAATAGAGCATGCACATGTTCCTAGGAAACCTGGTGAATAACTGTTTATTCCTAGAATGGAATAACCTATATAATAAAAGTGTAATATGCAAATTGGCCAAACAGCAGGACAACCACCCGGACGACCATTTGGGACCACACTGTGACACCCACTGGTACCAGGCCAGCCAAGGCAGGTGCGATGCAATTGGTCGGGGGCCCGGCCATCGCCCCATGATTGCCCCGCAGAGGGAGGCCCAGGCCACCAACTGGCAGACTGCGGCGGGTGGGTGGGGCCTCCCTCTGCGAGGGACACCCGGGTCCCGGGTGCTGGCAGCCAGAGGGAAGCCGGTGCCAGCAGCTGGAGGAAGGAAGGCCTATTCGTGCACAAATTTTGTGCATCGGCCTCTAGTTGTGCAGTAATGTTAAATGCTGACAGGTTTGGTTAACATAAGAGTTTGTATATTTTCTTGACTTTGTAGAAGTAAAAATATAAAGGAAATTGTGTATATATATAGAACCATTAAAATGTGTAGGAAGAAGTAAGTCCCAGGGTGGCTGGTTTTTCTCTGGGCGGTGAGTTGTGAGTATAGAGCAGCCGTGGGCAAACTACGGCCCGTTTGAAATGAATAAAACTAAAAAAAAAAAAGACCGTACCCTTTTATGTAATGATGTTTACTTTGAATTTATATTAGTTCACACAAACACTCCATCCATGCTTTTGTTCCGGCCCTCCGGTCCAGTTTAAGAACCCATTGTGGCCCTCGAGTCAAAAAGTTTGCCCACCCCTGGTATAGAGGGTAGACCCTTGATGCTAATGGAGAAAATGGGCTGCCGTCTAAGGGATCTGCCACGGAAGGCGAAGCTCAGAGGGAGGTGCGTTTCACTCTTTCACGTTAAGGGCTAATCCAGCTGCTCGGCCTCCGAGGTGTGGCTTCTTCAGGGTTCACGTCAGTGTTCGTCCACACGGCCCCTGGCCCCGGGCGCCTTCCTGCAGCCCAGACACCCATTCCGAGGAAGAAAGGCGTCTCCTGTGGCTCCTAGGTCCTGGGTTTTGTCCCTAATGCCCGGCTCTGAGCGCTCACTGCACGGGGAAGCAGGGGCTTCTGGAGCTGGGATTTAGCACAGCCGCCCTTGAATGGCGGAGAGGGTCGCTACCCAGGAGAAAGGGTGCCCTCCGCAGAAGAGGTGAATGGACTGAGGACGCAACCACAGAGGAGATGACAGTGACTTGTCTACATTCACTGTGCTATGCATTTGACCCAATAAACATGTGTACTTGGTCAAAGTGATTTTTATAGCTCTCCCCTATATCTCCCACACGCCTCCGGCCAGACAAATGTTACCTTTGCTCAACAACCTTTTTGTCTCTAAGAATCCAGGATGTGGGAGGAGCGACTGGCAGTGTCGGATGCCAGTGCAGGAGGGAGGAGGCTGCGAGGGAACCATGGCTTTGGTTTGGGATGTGCTGGGAAGAGAATGGGCAGAGAGAAGAAAAAGCCACTAGAGGTACGGATTTGTTTGTTATCTCTATGAAACGGACAACCCCAACTTAGAGGGTGAAAGGGCGGAGGAGGAACCACACCTACTGTCTGACTTGGGAAGAGAAGAGGACTCAGGAAGTGAACAGAGATAAAAAAAAAAAAAAGGAAAAGAAACCTATCTCCAGGAAGCCAGACCAAGGAACAAATCCAGTGGTTGCCTAACAGTCTCCACTTGGCATTATTTCAGTTCTTGTCCCAGTGCCTGGTCATGTGACACTTTTCAATAAGCATGCTTTTTAGCTATTGATCTTCATTTACAGACTTAGTTATGCAACTCAGAGGCCAGGACACTGCAGTGGAGAGAAGGTTAAAAAAAAGGGGTGTCTCCCTCCCAGAACCATTCCCCACTCACCCCCAAAACGCTGAGGGTCCCCATGAGACTTGCAACCAGGTAGCCGTGGGCAGTGGCGGCTGGTCCCGGGCTAACCCGCTGAACCTGCAGGCATGTTGATCACACACCATGAGGTAAGATGCAGCCATGAACAGTGAGGTTTGGTGCCTGTTTTCTCAAAGGTACTGCAACCCAACACGTTCTGAGCACCACCTCCAGGTCATCTCCCGAAATCCACACCAGTCACAGTTCTTCAGCCTCCACACACAACACATCTGCCCACTCCCCGCCTAGCCAGTGGCCAGTCCATTGTTACAATCCCTCTCCCTGCACACCCTCCGCTCTCCACCCTCTCCCTCTTGACACTTGTCTGTTCAAGGCCCCAAACCTGGTGAGCCCTTCCACCTGCCTCATACCTGCCCCCAAAGCTCTGTATTCCTCGAAGGAAGTCACACAGCTCAGCTGGCTGGCTTCACTTCAATGACTGTAGACCTCAAATGGACACATGACGTTACCAAAGGAGCTGGCTTTAAGTCTCTTGTAGGCTTGCTTTTCTTTTCCTTTTTAAAATATATATTTTATTGATTCTGAGAGGGAGGGAGAGGGAGAGAGAGAAGAACATCAATGATGAGAGAGAACCATTGATGAGCTGCCTCCTGCACGCCCCACACCGGGGATCGAGCCTGCAACCCAGGCATGTGCTCTGACCGGGAATGGAACTGTGACCTGGTCCATAGGTCGACGCTCAACCACTGGGCCACACCAGCCTGGCTAGGCTTGCTTTTCTTTTCCTGACATCAGCTATTTTAAACATTCTCCCTCCCACACCCCTCCTCTGCCCTGTTCATGACTCACTGAGAACACTAAAGCCATCAGGCATCGATTCCCCTGTCCTCCACCGAACAGGTCAATCTACCCCCACACACTGTTTCTCCCACTACACGCTGATTCCCTCCACCTGAGCCCCTTGCCTGGCCCCTGACGTTAGATCAGAGAATTTGATCCCTTGCTGATTCGTCCTCCCAACTTCTAGGTGTTCTTGCCCTTCGGGGCTGCTTTGAGGGCCTCCTCACCTGCTCTGATGCCTTCGAACAACAAGTCCCTGCTGACGGCTCCCAGATGGGTGGCTACAGCCAGAGTCGCAGTCTTGGAGGCATCTGCCTACTTGCCGTCTACCCTCAGGCGTCTCACACGTCAAGTCCAACTTGTTACAACATTTTAGTCCCCACATGACTCCAGGCGTTCTCATCTCAGCCTGTGGCGGCACTTTGCTGCCTCTTCTCCCCGGTACCCCCACATCCAGTCCCTGAGAAAACACCCCCTGGACTCGGTCTGCCTCCACCGCCTCTACCGGGATCTCAGGCAGCATCCTCTCTGTCTGAGCCGCACAGATCCTGCCGGTTACGCATCAGCCCTTCTCCAATCTGGACTCCCCACATTTGCAACATGGCTCCCATTACTGCCCGGTTTGGGAACCTTGACGTGGTTTCCCCCGCATTTGGGGGAATGTTTGTCATAATGTCTACAAAGATTGCACACAATCTTCCATCGCTTATCTTCCCAACCCTATCTCAGGCCCCTGTTCCCCTGTCCTCACACAAAAACTTCTTCTTGCCCCGGCTGGTTTGGCTGAGTGGATAGAGCGTCAGCCTGCAGACTGAAGGGTCCTGGGTTTGATTCTGGTCAAGGGCATGTGCCTGGGTTGCAGGCTTGGTCCCCAGTGGGGAGCGTGCAGGAGGCAGCCAATCAATGATTCTCTCTCATCATTGATGTTTCTATCTCTCCCTCTCCCTTTCTGAAATCAATAAAAATATATATTTTTTAAAACAACTTTTTCTTATTTTATTTTGTATTGGTTTCAGGTGTACAGCATCATGGCTGGACAGTCATACTTTACAAAGTGTTGCCCCGGTATTTCCAGGACCCACCTGGCAGCATGCACAGTTATTACAATATTATTGACTATATTTCTGATGCTTTAATTTCTTCCCTGTGACTATCTGTAACTGCCAATCTGTACTTCTTAAGCCCTCCACCTTTTCACCCACCCCCTCCTTCCCTCCTTCCCCTTTGGCAACCACCAACCTCTGTGTCTATGCGTCTGTTTCAGTATAAAAAAATTTTAAGGGGAAAAAAAGGAAACCCATCAGTATAACCCACTGTGTGAACAAAGAATAAAAACTATTTGCATTTGATGAATCCCAAATCCATCCCATAAAAACAGCCGCTTCCCCAGCCTGAGAAAGAGTAGCTGCAAACCCTGCAGACTTCCTTCTGAAAGTGAAACTCTGAGATTGAGGAACACTGCTCAGCATTGTCGTCAGTGCAGTCAAGCAAGATATGAAAGTAGACGGACATGGACTGGAAGTGACCTGAAACTGCCCTTATCCACAGATGCTGTGATTGTGGAGGTAGGAAACCCAAACGATCTATAGAGAATTATTGCAGTTGAGTGAAGTTGCTAGAGACCAGATCAACATACAAAAATCAATCCCATGTCTATATCAGTGGCAAACAAAATTTAAAAATTTTTTAAATCCTCACCCGAGAATATGTTTTTATTGATTTTGAGAGAGAGGAGAGAGAGAGAAACATTGGTTGGTTGCCTTCTCTACCTGTCCCGACTGGGGATCG